CTGTTTCGTGATGTGAGTCGGCCAATAAGTGTGAATCGTATAAATCACTTACTAAATTAATGCCAAAACAGATATCACGGAAACCAAGTGAATTTGGTTTCCCAGTTGTCGAACATTTAATCATTCAAGGTTATCCCTCGCATTGAGCAAACAGAATTCAAATATTAGTAGTACCGAGGTGAAAAAGTATTGTCACTAGGGGCGAAGGACCTACTCGGCAAGTAAGTTATGGGATGCAAGTCATCCGTTAATAGATCTTCAGATCCAAACACATACAATGAACTTGACTATTTCTAAGGGCAATAGTAGCAACAGACGGTACAGAAATACAACCAATGTTAACAGAGTGCTGACACGCGTGCAAGCGGGTGGCAGACGCTGCCGGCGGTTAAATCTCTAAGAAATTTAGCAACTGGAATCACAGGTACCCTATCGGTTTGCTTTTGGTCCACGGACATGGGGAACATGAGCATTGTCATTTCGAGTAGTTACCTGCCTTAAACCGCCACTGGTGATTCTTAAACAGAATCGAGAAAAGGATTCATTGGTTGGTTTCAATTTTGATAAAAAAACAGCTCCTTATTAATTCCTTGTAGCTTTTGCCATTGGGAATCGAAAATTCAAAGGGCTCCACATCAACATCTAGCAGATGATGCATAACTGCTCCTTTTTTGCGTGATTTATTTGTAGGTTTCGCGGTTGCCTTTACCTCAGCAGTCGATACGCTAGACAGAAGTACTCAAATTATGCACGAAAGCACATCAAGCGCGACTTCTACTCCACCTTACACCAAGGTCTTGTTCTCAAGTACCCAGTCCGCCCTACAGATTTCCACATCAATAGTTCCGACACCTCAGTCGATGTTAAGAAACATTAGCCAATTACAAAAGAAGCCCTAATCAAAGAACAGACTAAGCTCTTTGGTTCCGAACTGAAGAAACAACAATGGGGGAATGGTAAAGCCTACTTAAGAGAAATTGTAGAAGAAATTTGGATATTTTGTTTAAAGTGAAGTGTGATTGTGGCAGATACAATCTAGAAGGAAAAACGAGACACGTACCTCGAACAAAGCACTTCCTTAGGCGCCGTAAACAAGAACGCTTACATTGGAAGAAATTCTCCAGTTGAGTTGAGACACATCCCATTAATACCTATATAGTCAAGACAACAGGGTCATTAGTTTGCTTGCTTAAAATATTACACCATCTATGCTGTTTAAAGTTTTACACTTTTGGTAGGGTAGATAAATTGCAACTTAACTTTCAAGTAACTCAAAAGTACAAATAACCAAATATTTCTCCAAAAGACGCGAGCCTAGAAAATAGAGCTAGGTCTTGATATCGAAGCTCGGTAGAATTACATCCAAGAGGATCGGTGAAGGTAGCATTAAAGTATGGACAAAGGCAATCAAGCAACGCAAGATAGTACATAGATCAAAAAAATTATAGGAATTTGAACAACCTTAAGAACCTCATCTTTTGCTCGTCTATCATTGGTACTTCAAGCATATTCCGAAGAGCGGAACAAACATCAGAGCTCGGATTCATTTATTGGGAGAGATTATATACATATCCAATAAGAACGTCTCTGCAGCCAAGAATTTGGCTCAGGATGGGGTTATTAGAGTAAGGTTAAGTTGAGGCACGGAAATAACGAACCAAATCAACAACGATGAAGCTAGCTCGAAACTAGCCTACAAAGGGGGTTGACCAATGACAAGTTAGCATAGTTCAGATATAAATAACCTTGGTTTTTCTTATGAAACACTAAGACGTGTACTATTTAAAATAGCAATGTCGACATATTAATTAGCACAAAGTAATTAAATGATCATATGCCATAGAAACCACCCCAGCCACTAGCAGGTAAAAAGTTACTAATAACCGTCATTTTCGCACTCATGGATTAAGAAAGCTTCTATCAAATCACCCGTGAGTTGCCTCATCGGTCATTTTGGGGGAGTACAAGCATTCAAAAAAGTGGATTGAGCAAGCCGCTCTAGAAAGAAACAAAACGAGTAATGCGTTAGTAGGTTCTAGTGACGTAATAGATTAGTCCCATTTAACCTGCCAATAGCGCATCATATCCGAAATTGGGATTTGGACCATAAACATTCTAATTTTCATCTTCATTTCTATTTTGAGTACGACGCTTATGCATAATCAGCAAGGTATCCGGGAAAGCTTCAGCTGTTTATTAATTTAAATTCATTTAACTTGCGTTCCCTTCTCTTTTACATTTACCAGTTAATAGTAACTTTGGAAATGATTTTCTCACAGTTCATTTTTAATCTCTTGCATGTACGTTCACAGGTTTGGTATCGTGTACGTACAATTGTGTATGAGGCTCTTAATTAATAACATTTTCTTTCAACTACTCAAAGTTCGATTGAGCGTTTTGAAATTCTATGGTGCTGCGTACGTTCCATTTCCCTGTTTATTGGTTTCACCATCGCCCTTTCGTTTCCAGACTGCTTTTAACGAATTTGCATTTAATTTCTGGCTCTGCGAGATAACGACCTTTGCTGTTTTAAGCTGTTCTACAGTCGACTGCTGCTTTTGGTAATTCCAGTATTACCTGACATTTAACTTATTTCCATGTGTTTATGTGACACAGACATCAGTTTATTACACAAATATTTTGAAATTTAGGTATCTTGTGTCGGTGAAACCGTCTTTGATGTCTTTTTTGGAGGTCGACTATACAGGGAGCAGTCTAAGTGTCTGTGGGCCCCAAGACATCGTATCTAGGTTGAATCTCCCTAAAGGCCATTTCACTGTGAAGCCCTTTAATGATTTTACCAAAGTTGTTATCTCTGGACAATTTTCAAATGTGCCCTTGGACGTAATCTTCCTAGCCATCTATTCTCGTGCATCCAGTCTGTCTGGGACCATCGTTGAACAATCGAAATCATCAGCATCTCGGCATATTCTGTGGTCTTTTCCCACCAAAAAGAACCCTTTAGTTGAATTATGGACTTCTATGGACTCTATAATGACGTTTAAGGCGCTGGTCTTGACCTACGTTCTCCGCACCCTCTCCTTCCACTTATTGAATTTAAATGTGCTTTTCATATTTTTCTTTTTTCTTCTTCTTTTGTATATCCGCCGTCTGTTTTAATAAGAATTACAATTTTTCGATTTTTGCCGCGCTTAGATTGGACTCGAAATGTCTGAACTACCAACAGAAGCCGAGTACGAAGAGCGCTTTAGATCACGCTTTACAAATGATGACAAAGAATTCACCGCATACGTAAACGAACCTCCGCCGTCCCCACCCATTTTCGAGAAGTGGATTCCCAGAAGGTAAAAAAACGAGACTGGTCAAATCTGCCCTACTTTTAGCTCTCGGTCCCAGGCCTCAGCAAATCACAGAAATTCTCATAAATCCCGACATTTTTGTCGGAATGACGAGCGATCACACCGAAATGACTGACTTTTTGTAACCAATGTGGTTTATTATCAGTTTTGACGAATACGCCTGTCTTTTTGTACCGTATCTTTCCCACTTACTTCTCTTGAAGGGGCCACCAGCTATCTACATCTAGTCGGTTATTTACGAATTTTTATAGACAGTGGGGGTTACAAAGCAAAATAAATGAACCGCAAGGCAGTATCCATTTTTTCGCAAAACGGTAAAGATCTGAGAGGATAAATTGCGCGTTTGAAAGGAAATGAAAAGGGGACAGGAAAGGTGGGCTCGTTAAGCTATCTTTATTGGCTTTGACAACATAGAAGTGGTATCCGATAGGGATTGGGGTGGGAGATGGGGAGGTTGCCCTAGGAGGTCTCGCGTTTTCTGCGGTTAATGAGTTCGTGCAGCGCAAAATCGGGGTAGGCTCTTTTGAAGTCTGCTATGAAGTCGAGTATGTCCAAGTCCGGTTTGATGTCGTATTGCCTGGGAGAAAAGTGTAGAGAAGGGAAGGTTGTAAATAGCGATAATTCTACTTAGATTAAATGAGTAGAAGAAAGGATACTTACGGGGCCTTTCCGTCGGCGCTATCCTGCTTGACGAAAAAGTTTATTATCAGGAAGTGCTTCCAACTGCGCCAAAAGTTGACAACTGGTCCGTGCTCCGACTTGTACGTAGCGATCATACCTTTGGGAACTTCGGAGAGGAAGAGAGGGTTGATTTGCTCCAGAGCGATGAGGTTCTGCAGCGTGAGCCCGAGGTATGGAATGAAGGGAGGTGAAGCCTCAGCTAGCTCGCGTCGATAGGTGGAAAAGTGCGGCGGCTGCATGTAGGGTCTCAGGCGAGCGAGACGCTGCAGTGATACACATGTGGTTGATACATTTAAGAAACTCCAAAAGAGGGGAGAAAGTGGCCACTTACTGCTCGAGTCTTCTTGGAAAAGATATTTTCCGGAACTAGAAGAAATGCACAGAGTATGGCGAGAAAACTGTTGAAGTTCTTCAATGAATGGAGGTACTACGGAGGAAACAAAAGTAGCTTGTGATTGGAACTGCAAATTTAACCAAAACTTTGCATTCGTTTTTACTAATCCTAGGATCTGTTAAGTAGTTCCTTTGAAATCTACTAGTGGCATGCTAGCCCTTCTGTAATGGCATTTTCGAGGGCGGTTCAGAAGGAGACCCCTTGAGGACTTACATGCATGACCTTGAGTAGTTTGACAGCATGACGTTCTCTCTGGGATACGGGGGGTTCAAGGAGTAGGGTGGCCGCCCAATTTGAGAGTGCGGTGAATTGAGCCGCACATGCTGCCATCGCTGGAGCCTTAAGCGCGGCCAGAGACTTTATATCCAGCAGCTCCTCCAACTGTTCAAGCCAAGAAAACGAAAAATTCACAGTCAATCCATTCTTAAAAAGGACTTTTGATTTTAAGAAGATGCTACTACGGCGATGCCGTGGGTGTCGCTACTCACAGCCGGTGCTTATGCAAGCCAGTCTAGACACTGTTAATCGATATGGCGGACATCAATGACAGTGAGTGCGTGAATTCAAGGCGGGGTGATGAACATGTAGATATCCACAAGCATCTATAAGTGACGTCAAACCCAATACGGTATGATGATGGGACGGCCGGTCACCCGTGGTGGTTCAGCTCTCAGCCCATAGCTTCCGTATTCATTCCTGTGAATGGACATTCAGCCAATGCATAGAACGCCTGCCTGATCAACGCATCACCTGCAGTGAGGTAGAAGTATACAAGAGCGAGATCTCTTCTTTAGGGCTGTGAATATAGCACAATCCTTCCCGAACACAAACTGGAAGGTACCGATTTCACTTGAACACGCATTATGTTACCATCGCAAGCTGTCAGAGAGACAAAGATAAGCCTCCCACAGATTGATTAAAGGACCCTGATGCCTGAAAAATGCAGAAATCTATTGATGATAGGTCTGATGAAATAAATGAGCGTTTTCTCAAATTCCTTCCTTCTATGAGTGGATAGGGAGGCAATGTGCGAGCATACAAAACCAAAATTTCAAAACCATCGACCATCACTACATAGCCAGATTCTTTACCGTACGGGTTTCAGCATTTCTGAAATAAAGATGCTTTTCGAAACTCGCCGCTGCCAACTCAAGCAGGAGTTGTCCACCGCCTCCAATGCAACCAACCGATCAAATCATCAATTCCCTCCTTACTCCAGTCTCAACTTAGGTTTCTCATTTGTCTACCTAGCTCGAACTCCGCCTGCCGGAATGGAACTTTCCATTCAAACCCTCAGGTGGAAAAAGAACCACGAAGTAATTGCAAAATTTATCTTATTTAAAAACGACACCGGATGTTTAGTTAATACAACTTCGCAGAGGTCAGAGATGGCGTCGATTAACCTAAGAAATTCTTAAAAACTAGTTGAAAATTGCATTCGTTTGTGCCTAACATCCCCCTCATTTCCAGCCGTTAAGCACACAAACAAAGACGCAAAGGAACCGCCCGCTCTGGTACAAAGCTTTGGCTCACGAGTGAGTTCACAATGTAACGTTTCTCAACAATGCAAGAGAATTCTCACCACTCAAGTCAGATTAAGCATAGTCTAGGCGAATAGAAAGGGAGGGAGAGAGAATGAGACTAAGCGCTCCTTCAAATGGCATCATCGACCTGACCGCGGTGAGAAACAAACTTTGCAAGATGACACATTCAATTGAAAAAGAAGACGCTGATGAAATACTTTAATTATTTGTTTAACTCTCATTTTTTGGTTACGTGGGCACTGAAGGCCTCGCTGATTGTGCTTTCACGGGGTGGCATGGCCTCCGGACTACGCCAGTCACCATCAGCCCTTCTGTACGCCACCAATACATTTTCCGCCCTGGTATTTTGTCTTCTTTCGACTTTAGAGAAGTCTCAGGGCGCTACAATGGTAGCAGCGGAAAGCGGACCTGATACTAAAGGACAAATACACTGAATTCCACCCTTGAATGCGAAACATTAATACGGCGGAAGAAGGGCATGTACTGTGGATGGAAAAATTTGTGACAATCCCTAACAGAAGGGTTGAAAATGACGCCTATCTTTGGCAACTGCAGAGTTCGTTACGGAGCTGTTTGCGGCATCTGTGTGAAGATGTCAATTGCTTCAATCCGAGACACCGCCTTCACCTCTCAACCTGCTGAATAGAACCCAGGTGGATATAGCTAGGCAAAACTGAAGTGAGAGCAAGCTGGCAAGGAGGGAGAGACGCGAAGCCCTATCCCCACGAAACTACTATAAACCCCGTCCTTTACCAAATGACTGCTTCTAGACAAGTGTTCTTATGGCTAGCGATGGACATACAAGACGGATAGCACATTTTCCATTCCCCAATACAGTCCCCAAACAGAACGAAACCCTAGGTGCAGTAGAATTGTCATGCAAAATTAGTGACGGTGCAGTCAGGTATCATCTCAGTTGCACGCGAATTCGATGACTGGCGCGATTGGTTCGTGGGTGTTTTTGTTTTTCTTACAGCGCCGACTTTGCCATGTTGGCCGACACGCGTAGTTAACCAAGGGGAGCCACGAGGACACCGCTCAAGCCAGGCGAGGGGCTGGGCAATACTTTAATTGCTTGTTTAACTCTTCTTCTTGCTTACTCGATTACGCTATTGTACTTTCACTGAACGACATGACCTCGGGACCATGCCAGTGTCCCTCAGCCCTTTTTTAAGTTGTCAATACATTTTATGTCCTGGTACCATAGCATTTTCGGTATCAGGCAAAACTCAGGGCGCTACAGTTGAAAAAGAACCTTTTTCCATCATCTGTGAATGTTTAAATCGGTTTTCCTTCAAATGGTTCTGGTAGGTACTGCCAGGATTTATTAGACCTGAGGTCACTGTTTCAAACCCAATTACCTTCCGCAAGTTCACAGAAGGTGAATATCACCTTTATGCACAACACTATATCGGTTACAAAAGTACAGTAGATATGAACTTTAACACCAAGGCTGTTGAGCTAGTTAGGAGTTTGGAATGCAACCAAAGACGTTTGTAGTCATGCAAAACGTAGTACCACAATTTGCTGTCTTTGAAGTCGACAAGGCATTTGACGTCTACTAAGAACAAAAGCTTGTCAAACCTGACCGACGGAGCTGTCGTTATTCTCACAATCCTCTGTGCAAGTGTTTGACAATCACATTAGATTGTGATTGTGATTGTGATTAGATTGTGAGAAAAAGTCCCAAGAAGTACGATCGTTTCTCTTTAGGTAATCGCCTGTCTATACTCAAGACATAGAGAAATGAGTGACATTTCAACGCGCATTTTCAAGGGATGTATGATTTAGTAAGGAGACCAAATCTATTTCCGAATTTTTAGGCAATTCACGATGCTAAAATGTTAGTTTATTCGTGTATAAGGTTAAGGAAGCGAAGGCAGCTTCTAGGGAGGATGGTACAAGCAGAAGCGCGCAGGGTCAATATGACCTGCCAATTGGCAATTCATTGAGCACCATAGAAAGGAAAGACTCACATAAAGGAAATGAGTCCCATTTCATGTGTCGGCCATAATCCCAAGGGTTCGTGCTAAGTAAAGGCACTTACAAACGCATATTTGGCTTGGAAATTATCAGCTCTTATTTCAATAGACAGTTATCAATGTTTTGCCAATCATTCAATCACCGACTTCGAGTACTTCACTTTCGTACAGTCGGTTATGGTATGATCTTTACGGACAAGAGGAAACTTCAGGCTCTTCACTGGTGTTATTCACCTCTTGAAATTGTTATTTTAATACCTCTGCAATCCACATTCCAATTCTATTCAAGCAAAACCGTAGCGTGATAATTAGCAGCCAAATTTTTCATGATATTTTGTGACCAATTCAGCGTGCAAAAGCCCCATTTGGCGACGAGGTTTTATGGGACCTGATTAATCAACTAGGCGAAACCCAACTAGATTACGTTCGGATTGTATAAACTAATGCATGACTTTTTTGGCTCCCGTTATTCACTTGTCACGTTGTCAGTAGGCTTCCAGCCCTTTTGTACGCCGGTGCTTCAATAGTGAACTAAACCAAATCACGGGACAGGAACAGAGTTGGCAACTACTTACCGTAAGCTGAGAGTACTTCTCGGCCTCCAAGTAGGTGATCTGCTCCGCCAACTGTTTTGCCGAAATATCCAACAGACTTGCGCGTCTCCGTCCCCCTGAGGCGGAGTTACGCGAGTGCCTCCGAAGCGTTGCTGTGGTGACGGGCACCGAGGACCCGAGGAGACGGCGGGAGGAGGCGGGAGAGCTGAAACACGAAGCTGTAGAGGATCGACCACCCGCTACAGTTGTCCCCGTCACCGACGTCGCCTCAAAATCGATGTCGGAAAGGGCGGTGGTAGAAGGAGTGGGTGATGACTGGAGGGAGCTCTCTCCACCTTGACCGATAGAGAATGAGTTGCGCGCTGAGCCGGAGGAGGTGTTGGGGGTAGTGGTGGTAGTGGTGCTCTTGAAACCGCCATTCTTTAGCAAAGAATTGGGAAGGGACACCGTCGCACCGGCTACAGCGCCGATAGAATGCGAGCGGCGAACGCAGACATCCGGGGAGCCGGAAGTATTGGTGGGAGAAGAGCCGTGAGCCTCCCCAATCGTCCGTGGAGATATGAGTGGACTGCCAGTAGAAGTGATGGTGGAGTTAGGAGAAAGTAGAGCAATCTCCTGGCTTGGAGTCGAGATACGTCCATGCTGGCACCGTTTTAGCAGATTTGACAGGGTAAAGTCGAGAGCTCTTGCAAGCCCACCATAACCATCGTCCATCACACGCTCTCGAAATAACCTCAGGAGGGAGTAGGTGTGCGAATTTAAGTCCGTGGTAAGTTGGGAGATCTAAAACATGAAGGGATTCTGACAATTAGTTTCGAAAGCTGCGACACGTCTACTTTTGAACCAATCTCAAAATTGACCTAACCACATCAGTAAACGATATTTATACCTAAATCTGTTTAAAATTAAATCATGATTTATTTGGTACATTTTAATTATTGTCATAAAACTTATTAATAAATCGTGACAGTGGAAATAAAGTCTCAAAATGCAAGGGAATAAAATTTGCGATAAGCTGTTGGATAAAAACTGCGTTATTGAAGGAGGTGAACTTTTTTGAGGCAATAAGTGCACCTCCTTTTTAAGAAATAGATTCAAGAAAGAAAAAGTGGACGACCTTGATCAATTAACATTGGAGACTCTTTTTCTGGAAAGTGGTTAAAGATCCACAGGCATTGCAAGACCGAAATTTCCCAACCTACGAAAGTAAGCATTGTTCCAAGTTTGTCGGTGTTTTCTTACTCCACTAATTTTATTCCAAGAAATACTCAATTTTGATTTACAATATGGAAGAAGATGCAATCCGGAAGAACGAGTCACTGACCTCCAATAGGGCAGAGTTGTTCTGCTCATATTTAATCCGGTAGGTGTGGGGACAAATGGGTAAACAAATTTAGGGGATGGGGCAATAAGTACAAACTGTTTACTGGAAATGCAAAATAGTCCAACGGATTGTTGAAAATAGAGCTTTTGGATTAAGAAAACCCGTTCTCAGGCTATCAGCTTTAACACCAAGGTTCCGAACCTAACACAATAATTCCAAGAATGCTCAGTGATCGTCCTTTGACGAAGAAGCATAAATATTCCGCATAGCTAGGCGCTGTTTCCCCAGGAATTACAGACCGTTGTAGGTACTCAATGATAGGGTAGTATGTTTACTGTGAGGTCTTAAGATCAAAGCAACCGACAGTATCCGAAAAGAAATGCGGAAGAGGTCTTACATGTTTAAACAAGACTGCGCCTTCTCACAGTCTGCATGACTCAAGTGAACAACATGAACATGAAAGTGTTACGCCGTGCCGCTGCATGCTGAAAGCCAGGACCGTTATAAGGATGGGAACAACTTTCAAGGTGTCCAGACTACACTTGTTTTCGAAAGTCTCTGAATGCAACATTTCTGCATTTATCCCGGGGAAGCTTTGCTAGTACGACTGAACCGTCCTAGGACATCCCACCTTCCTGCCTTCCTAATAAGTGGGCAGTTCTCGACATTATAAAAGCTGTTAGACGCTCCCATTCACCATTGCTATAGAAAGATTCGCCTCTTGCAAAACTTCACGGCGGATTAGTCGGATCGGGCAAACTTTCCAGAAATTACCACTATTATGAGCTGAGAGCTAAATCATCACGTCCAGGATTGTCATCAAAGTGAAGTCATCGTTTGCAACATTTGAAAACCCTACTGCTAAGCGGCCTGAAGCCCCAACACTGTACAGTACCGGGGTTAAATATCCGTGGATTTAGATTGTGCACCTTTGTTGATAAAACCCTCCGTACATCACCTTATGCTGCACGGTCCACCCTTTTGCCTCCAATCTTGACCAAGGGTGTCTGCATTGAGCGTCTGTTTGGTAGCCCGGTGGCATTTACTACTGCCATGGGCAGCACACTTTTTGGAACTGTAAAAGTTAAAATCCCAGTTTGACTTAAACATCCCCTCCCCATATGTTTGGGGCGTCGTGGAGACGGCAGTCGTCAAGCCTATCAACGACACTAGGGCCTTGTTGATGTCCGCTATTGGAGACACTATGACCGAGGTAGGTGTTACCGAAGTCTTTTTCCACGCTACGCAACGAATTTTTCTGAAGGACGAAAATACGATCTGCACAGTTTTCTACACAAGGTAAGGGAGCAAGGAAAATCACAATTTTATCCTCTCCCAGGTTACTTTACCTAATTTACATCCTCAACGCCAAATTACGGTGCACGCGTTTAGCCTGCCGTCCAAAAAGCAGCACAACCAAAAGAAACAGGCGGAGGCGAACCACTCATTCTCGACATAAAATGCGCGGTTCTCACGCGATAAAGACCTGCGGCCTAAGCTTGCAGCCAATCAAGAAATCACTCATTTTACAAACTTTGCTTACATAGTGACACATCTTAAATGTCCGATGCAGCTACTTCTCTGGGAGATTTGGGGAAATTAGGACTGATGGATAGAGGATCCTCGTTACTACTGAGAATGGACTTCGCCATGAGATATTTGCGAAGAGGAGCGTTTGCTATATCAACTCGTTGCTAGATCATCTAGTTATTTTTTAAGACGTTGTTCTCAGATGATAATCATAGGGCCTAGTGTCCATCACGCCTGCTGGCCAATATGCTCCACCACGCACACACATACACTTTGAATAGTAAATAAGTTTGCCCATTTGCGAAGGACACTTCAGCCCTCCCCCAGCATTAATTCACTTTATATCTTATGGCCATTAGGTGTTTAGTTTTGACACGAGCTGGAACTCTATAGACATGCCTAAAATTGCGATAAAGTGGCTAGTCTAAATTTCTTCGTGGTACATTAACTAAATGCAGCGCGATAGTCAAATTAATCAGGTCAAAATATAACCGAACGTGGCGACTTATTCATGAGGTCCTGACCTTCTGATTATGCCATGGCATTCCACAAATTTCATTTTGTAAATGCCAATTTGGATAAGTGGGTGTGAAGCCTTGGTTACCTCCAAAATATCTGCGGGAATACAGCCTGACCTCACTTTTGGCTTTTACCCGACTTTGGAAATCCTGAATTCCGCTTTGCCAACTCTGAATGGACAGTTATAACTATTTTCGGGATCAACTACTCACTTCACTTACCCCTAATTTCCATTTCCACTTGTTGAAACAAGAAGCAAATAGTAGCAAAATCCAGAAATAAAACAACGCTTTAAAATAGGAAGGAAATTGAACCAGTGGTGGAGATAAACAAAGAACATTAAAATGACGGTGAACGAGTCAGTTAGATTTCCATGCCGCATTACCTCTTGATAACCGACAATGAGAAAAAAAACGTCGAGGAGTTATGCGTGATATATATGGAACATAGAAACGTGGTTTAGGGGCCTTCGTTACCTTGAGGTCAGTGTTGACTTGACCCTAGGACAAGCTTAATTAGGTAGTCTGGACAAGTAAAGGCATCGTAAAATGTCGTACAGGTGGATAATACCTCAAATAATCACTGCAAGTAGTGCGAAAGGTGGACAGACGCCCACTGGACGAAAAGGCTGTTGATATTGGCGATAACAGGGGTAGTAAGACGCATCTTTTGCACATGTGGCACTTCATTCCACGTTAGTGCCCTCATATTAACATGAAGACAAAGTTATTATCACTCAGTCATGTTTCATGGGTATCATAAATGCTCATTTAGTGACTATTGCCATTCGGAAGAGCGGGTAGACACAACTGCGGTAGTTTGATAAACGAATGATCGAACAGCGGAATGAATGAAGGTGATTGAATTGGGAGTTAATGAGGGAATGAACTGATATGGTCCTTTACATTAAATGAGAAAAGAGATGGCCCCTTTAGCACCCAAGTTCTTCTTCTAATTTTGCTTGTTTTGATCTTCCTTGCCTGTGTGCAATCTCGAACCTCATCAGCTACTTTCTCAGTTTCCTGAACATCATTTTCACAAACCCACCCGATTTTGGGTGCCAATATGGCAATTAACATGAATGAAACCAGGGACGCTGTTCAAAATGTCGACTACTTTCGGGACTTTTACAGATACGAATCACTGGAATGTGACACATTACCGCGCACTAACAGCAATGAGAAGAGCAGCCACGGAGGCGCGAAAGCGCCTGCCCTTGATGACGGAACCTGTTGCCAGTCCATTTTTCGGCATTAATTGAGAGAAGTGAATCAGCCACACTAGACTGAGGTCGGGCTAGTGAGGTCAGCTGGGATGACCTCGAGATCAAAAATCGCCCTGACCCAATGCTACAGCGGCCAAGTGAGTTACCAAGTTAATGCCAAATTGTAAAAGAATATTTTTTTTACGATGTGAGACAATAATTTCTGCCCTCGCTTCCTCCAAAAAGATTCAACGAGATTCGATGCCTATTCAGAGTGTGGAAAAGGGCCAAGTATCCCTCCCTCATTTCTGACTAGGCGGTATAATTGTTTTGATGAGACTCCTGGCCCCCCTAGAGGCTAAAAGAATTACTGAACGATCGTAACGATGGCCTGATTGAATCTCGCCCTACTTAACCCCAAATTTTAAAATACAATTTTCTTCGCAAATGCTGATGTCCAGAAATGTTGATATTCATAAATGAGGATGAAAGTGATGAGTGGAGGAGGAATGACGCGAGAGAGCTGGATACAGCTCCTTGCAGCAAATGATTCATCTGCTGCTGGAAGGAGGATAGAACGCAGAGAGCACAGGCGAATATGCTATAAAAGCATAAATAATCCAAGTCACCCAGTCATCCTGTCTCGAGTAAAGTAGCTGATAGGACAAAAACTCTCGATCTATCATTTTTTTAGAGTGGTGACATTCAAACTGCGATATCGAGGATAAACTAATCAACGATTTCAAAATTCCACATAAAATTAGAATATAAGTAGGAAAAAGGGGATTATGGAGTAATTAATGGGAAATAACACCTCAAAACGTCCAGTTTCATTGTAATCATCTGATAGGAGACGTTAACACAGAAGGTCGACTGCTTTCTTCACAAGAGACCGTTCTTTTTGTCATATAAAGAAAAAAGCGAAGTTTCCCAAAAAGTGGATGACAAATGTGTCCCGAAACGGAGAAGTGGAGAGGTAGTGGGAAATAAGGATGAACCGCTAATCGTGGTCGGACAACGTGAAAGGTAAGTTAAAACACCCACATAAATATCGTATATATTTACAGCGATACTTTACACGCAAAAATGGAAAAAGGAGTTGTTAGAGGGGGTAATGGATTCAAATACTAACCGACGAGGACCGCAGCGTCTTGATAATTTGGTTTGGTGAACGTTTGACTACGCAGACTATTCGGCTAAAAGACATGGCCTCCTGACCACGTCTGCAGCCCCTTGCCTTTACGTAGGTTAGTAGCATAGGCTTTGCCTCCTAGGTCAGCTTATTATAACCTCAGAGAAAACCTTCTTCCATCAATGATTAGTGATAAAGCAACTAGAATAATCCTTCGTAGAAAGTAACGTGGTTGGGAAGAGAAGAAAACTTCTTTCATGCAAGGGTCAAAGGGGTAATTCGGTTACCCATCTACTCCTGTGGATCCCTGTATTATATCTTGACACGGGCTCATATCGCAGATCCACTGCGATAACTAAAGCTTAAACGACGAAAGACAGAAGTAAAGCCCAGACAACCCACCACGCGTATGAGGTAGGAGATAACGACGTTGCAGATCTTCTCCCTTGCCTTCTCGTCAACGGTGGCAATCAATTTGATACTGGACTGGAAGAGGAGGTAGCGTTGAATGAGGAGGCTGATCAATTCCTCCGGAGTGACGAATGTACGGTACATCACCAAAAAGACGTCCAGTGTTAGGAGGACTGGGTGGACAGAAAAATATAAATCCAGTCACTTTCTACCAAACAAGCGAAGGAAAAGAAACACTACTAGATAGCAAGATAGAAAGATTCTCGTTTATTTTGTGGAGTTTCAGTGAATAACTCGGTAGCAGAAACTGGCGAAATCAATCATTTAAAGTTAAACAACTTTGTATCTTCAAGACTAGAGATAAGCCTTCGACAAAGCAGTCAACGCATTTTAGCACCCTACCCTGCCTAGAGTTGGGCAAAGCTCATTATTGGTGAGATTTCCAAACCAAAGTTAAAGCTATTCCAACTAATTCCTTGAATTTTTATTTACTGAAAGTAGGCCTTGAGATAAAAGTTCTATCAGAGCATGAAAATACTTGGAAAGCGACCACTTTGTCGTTATCTAGAACTTACATGATCGATGCGAACGACCCAATGAAGTAGCGTAGACGATGAGAGCATCAGTCGTGCCAGCTTGGACCTGCAACTCGTTTTCCTACAAAAAAATTTGAAAAAAAAGTCAGCATTTTCAAAAACAAACAAATGAATCATGCGCGACTCACAAGGAGGATCTGGGTTGGTCCAAGTTTTGGATTGACGTGTCAGGAAGTGACAAAATCTAAGACGGTTTCCTGACTCTTAGAATTAAATATTACGTTGTAAAATTCGCATTTTAAACCTTTTATTGTAGGGAGAAAACCTGGAATATGAAATACATTTTATAGGCTTCTTGAAGATTTACCCATGCTATCATCAAAAAAAGTATTTCATGTCCCATTCCACAATGAAACACCCTGCGACCAATTCACTCAAAAGAAATTTTGCCACCCCTTCACTTTAAAAAGTAGGTTTGAAAACATTCAGGATGTTCAAGAATTATCACAATTGAATATATCCGTTAAAATCTGTGAAGGTAGGAGAAGAAAAAGGATTGTCAACTTGGTGCATTTGGGTGTGTCAAGTGACCAGACCAGTCTTATGACCCAACCGCCCTTGCAATGTTGTGATGCAAGGCTGAAAATGGTGACTAACCTCAAGCTATAATGCCTTAAAAGAGATGAAACATCTGCTTTGGATGTGCTTTGAGCCCAACTTCGTCACCATCAGCTCAGATTGGTGGTAGAGCTTTCCTGTCGAGTGGATTTTAGGTTTCAAAAATTACGGAACAGGGCGCCCCATGGGTGTCTAGACACAATAAGTACAAAAGAGAGCGTTCAAAGGAGAATATATGCAAGAGCCGAACTTTACTTTGAAATGAAAAACTCAAGTACTGGCGACTTTTGAACCTCTCGCAAATTAATGTTGTAATCTATGTCAGTGAATTGTGTAACGGTAAGTGACTGCAATCAAATGGTATCGTGGCATATCATTATTTATCGGGGAGAAATTAGACTAGATTGGATTACTGTCTAAATATCCATCAAACTCACTCGAAAGGAAAGGAAGGTATAGTGAAAAGCCAGGGGGCAACGTATGAGGCAAAAAACACGGAACTTTGGACATGGGATGCGGAGGAATCTACAATTTCGTCTTTTCAAAGTAGAAACGAAGAAGGATGTTATTGAAGGAAAGCCTCAAACTGAAAACAACTTCTCGATTGCATTAATTGTTGTTGGGGCTTTTTTCGCCAAATAAAGTGCAACGTTTAACTTGCTATAAAAGAAGCATTGTGGTTTTTTGAAAAAAACTGCCTATTTTACCTTAAAAGGACCTTTAACTGCTGTTTAATGATTCTAACAATAAGGAAACTTTTGTCTCGTACTCATATTTTCTGTTTAGACGAAAAGAAATGGTTGCAAAGGCATTTCAAGTCATCGCTTTGACATGCAGAGGAGGTGCCAAGCATCGACTATCACATCACTTACAACAGACAACCACCAGTGAAAGCAACGCGTGGACAAGAGGAAAGTGATAGGACAACCAGACCACGAATTGGCCACTTGTCACGTGACTCATGGACAATTTCGACGGAATTCAGGACCTCTGGATTCAGAGGAATAAAAGAGTCAAGTAGATGGATGCATAAGCAAAAAGACGCAAGCAGTGCTTATTTGTCGCTAAGATGCGGAGTAGGAAAGGTAAAAACAATATCAGCAAAAGCAATTACTTCGGTCATCCGCGATTTGGCCTCCATGCTGATGGCAAGTAGTCTATGCTAGCTCTCTCACCGGTCTGTTGCTCGTCAGTAATAAGGCTACTTCTCAAATGGTAGGCTTCATAGTGCCTTCGAGAATAGTTCATTTGTACCCGTAAAAGATTAATTATCTGGGAATATCACTAATTAATTCCACAAGACCAGATATATTTGGCATGGGAACTGGCGATAGAAAAACGCTACCGTCACACGCTATCTGCCAGATTTACCTTTACTCTGCTGAGGTGGTTGTTCCTTTAAAAGCCTCATTTTAGGGGTGTGTTCACGACATTGGGTAAAGAACCAAATTGAGCGTAAGCCCACTTCAGAACAAAACGCTACCATGACCATGACAACAGCGCTTTCTATGCACATAGCCCGAATTTGCCAAGTCAGCGAAAGTCGTACGTCCAATAGGAAAAACACTGCTTTTGTCTCAACTCTGTCCTCCTCTTGGAAGAAAATAAATTTGGTTTGATTCTGCTTTTTCCCCAATTTAGCTACCGTAATAAACAAAAGCCTGATTGCGAGGATAAACGGATCCAATGACTGGGGACAGGACTCCTAAGAGCTACTAATTCAAAAACACTTTCAACTTCCCTCCTTTCAAGATCTACACAACTTCCTCTTTTTTGTAAAAACATATAATCCGAAAGGAACAACCGTAAAAACCGCAGTAATCTATCGCAAAAATGACAGGACCTTCGGAAACTAAACTAAATAAAAAGGTGTTAACTGAAGCTGACATTTATAAATGGAGGAAAATTAGCCTCCGAAAGTGTGTTAAAGACTGTGCGAGTAGATGATAAATTTAACCCATCTAAGGGAATCGTATTCACATTCTCCTTCCACAAATACTTCTCAATAGAAAAGGAGAAACTCAGGGTTGTTAACGAATTCTTTTTTTCTGACATCAGTAGATCCAGGCTAAAGAGAGAAGGCATGGAAAATGTGTAACATCGAAAAAGGACCATAAGATCCATATACGATATTATTACTTACGGAGTTGGAGTTGTCCAACTCCAGGTAGGGCGTGGCATCGAGTTCCATGAGGAGAGGATGCAACCGTTCCGCCTCGTTCACTGAGGGCAGTTCCACATTGACAAGACAGATGGGTGGGGGGAGGAGTTTGGCGTCGGAGTCCACTTCCGTCTCATTTTCCAGAGAGGAGTACTCGAGGGAGCCCTTCCGATTTGTGTGTCGTCGACGATGCTCATGAAATATAAGCTCGGGTGTCCCCGGTAAGTCCGTTAGCAGAGGTTGCGAGCTCGAGGGCACCCTGAAGTAGTCACGCAGGATACTTGTCACTAGCGTGTCTGCGGATAGACCAAGTATCGAATCCATCACACACACACACAGAGGGAGAATAAAACCTCTGTATGTCTAACAGCCACAGCCTGGTTTGAAGAGGTAACCGACTGAGTTAGTGAGGTGGCAGTAGCGGTGTCATCGGTAATTATGCATAAGAATGAGCGCATACTATGCACGTATAGCGAATGCTTAAAAACGGACACGCCATAGGCTTCTCTTGATCTCTCACTCACGCACGCATTAACTCAACACTTCCTCCTCCGGCCTGTCAGACCATTCAGAAGCACCGAGGCGTTTCGACACTGAATTCACCACAGTTGGCAAACCCAAAAGAATGTGGTAACAAGAATTGCGTACTTACTTATCAAGTCTTGGGTTTCGAGCAACTGTGACTTGCTACCAACCTGAAGCCACCAATGATCGGACAGTTGGAGGTGAAAGCAATAAATCCATCCGAACTTGAATCTCAAATACTGACGATAAATTTTTACATGCTTTTGAAATTGAGGAGCTTTAAAAAACCTAATAGCAAAAACCCAAGCCATTAATTCTGCAAGAGTACTATCAACTTCCCATTTTTATATTAGTTACAACAAGGCTTACCAGCAGCATCGGAAAGTCGGGCTTGCAAGGTACTATTGATATCTTACAGTACGACGGGGTTTTGAAAGCTACCTACTTCTCTAGGCTCCACCATTAATAAGTAGGAAAGTGTCCACTTCAATCTTAAATTAAACGCACATCGAAGATGCAATGGGGAAGAGCTGACTCCGAAAATAGGGGATATTGCTTCCAAAGGAAATAACTCCGTGCATCTGAGAGTATCCAGAACTGGCCAACTTGTCAATATCTATTACCATTTATAAATTTAGCATAATTTTAAAAAAATGAAAAAAACGTTTCCAAATTCTCCTTGCATTTACAACCTAAAATAGTGACAGTGACTGAGTACAGCTATTGTAAATGGAAAAAACGGCTTTTCACAGTGACTTTGTTCGGAAAAATGGGTGGTTGGTACTTCTGAGCGATGAGAGCAATTTTATTCCGTCAAGATGAAGAGAACACTTCCTACTGACAGTACACACCCATGCACGAGGGAGGACGTTGCAAGTTGGAGAAGAATGGAGGGTGCGGATTCACTAGAGTCCACGTAATCGCCTGACGTGGAATCTACCGAGTTTGAGGGTCAAGAATTCGCAACTTGATTAATTAGCATGTATGGAGGATAATGTGAATGTGTAATCCAACTTCTGCGGTATTCGGCGCTCTCCACTTTTACGAACCGCTTAGTCTGAAGAAGCATTGATACTCAGCCCAACTGCTTCTAGCCCAGTTTTACCTCCCAACTGCCCGTTCTATTTGGCATGTGACCATGTAATTGTCGTATGCCAGTGAGGGGCAATGATCATTGCCTAGAGAGATGCCACAAGTCGGTCGATCAGCAAGAGAACAAGCTAAAAACAGGGCGCTATCATGCGAGCGGAAAGAAGTGAAGAACAAGTTGGCAGCCCTTCAAGCTTATTGTCATCTGGTAATGCGTTTCTCATAAGTGGGACGCGTTTGCTTAGCTACTCAGATTCCAACACAGTAGCATGGTGCATAAACTGGTTGCTTAGTCACTCTCGCTAAACTAAATGTGACTAGTACTTGTTCCTGGCGTGTTATTCCCAAGGCGCACTACTACCATGGGTAAGGAGTGTTCCAGAATGCGAATTCTAAGCAATACATTCTGTTAACACGACCTCCTCAAAAGCTGTGGGGACTTTACGAGACATTTATGCAGTCATGGGCTGGAGTTAAATCCGCAGGTTTTAAGGTTCGCCCGACAGCTGATGATACACAAGTTCAAAATAAGGGGAAGAGAATCAGTAGGGAGCATGCTAAACAATGATAGTTTGACGTGAATGGATTTATGCCTGCTAATATCACCATACCAACAGTCATATGCATCTGATGGGCTCCTCTCTGCAAGTGAAAAGAAGTTATGGTACCAAGAAATACCAAAAACCGCGAAACCTTCATCGCCATTTGAAATTCCGCAATTTTGCATTGTCATCGTCCCCTAAACGAACAGCAACTGCGTCTTTTAATCCACATCACCATTTAAACGTACTCTTCAACTGTCAATCCATAAAACGACCTGTTTGTGTATTTAAAGGTGTGTCGTATTACCACTGAGAAGGGAATATAAACATTCTGATTGTAATGTGTGCAATCCCGCGCATTACACCACCGGCTTGAGGGGAGGGTACTTCAACAAGAGTGCTTAAACACCCCAAAGATTAAAATTCCGCGTTTTGCGATCCTAATGCATCAAATTAGGCGCTCAAGGCCCCTAAGGCCCTTTGCTATTGGTGCATTTGAGTACCCCACTTCTGATCGGTAATTCAAATCAACCAATCAGTACAAAACAGTCTTTGAACAAGTCTTTCTTGGCTATATTTTGAGCTAATTCCTTTCACAGAGATAACACACAAATGCGTGTACTAACCATTAGATGACTACACTACCATACCCAGTCGCCATACCTTATAGTTCTCATTACTTTGTGACTTCCAAAAAGGCCTAGGGTGTAACCCAATTCACCTCACATTGTAGGGCTAAAAATGGGACTAAGGTGGAGGGAGAGAGGGAGGAGTGCAAACGACGACTTTATCCCTGCAAAAGGCAATACATGATTGCATGCGTGGTTAAACGCCTTCTCTTCGTGTATTCCCCCGAAACACGTAAGGGAAAAACAACGGAAGCAAAGGCGACTACGAGAAAGAGACGGCTCATTTCAAAGTGGGTTAGTGAAAAAGTAATTGTTAAAATAATGCATGTCAAAACATAAATGGCCTGAAGATAATAAACGCCATAGTGGGACGCATTTCAACCCAATTGTCTAAGCAATTAATAGACCATGGGAGTGGGTATCATGTTTTTCCGTAAAAGCCTAAATATTTAACAGCATTTAATTTTAGGAATCAATACAGATTCCCTAAAATGAATACAAAAGAATTGTGCTTTTCATTAAAAGGAAACGATACTTTTCCCCCACCAATCACCCTTCACACCACTGCCATGGAGCACTGTCTATGCCACCGGTTTTGACACTTTCCTCCTCCTATTAGTTCTTCCTTTCAGTGAAGAGAGTGTTACTTTCCGACTTATATGTATTAGAACATCTTCGAATATTTGGTGGCAATAATAGAGGGTAACCTGAACCTTTTATACATCCTTTGTGAATGTGATCAAGGCCGTAGAGGTGCACAACCAACCACTTGTTCCAAATTAAGACCAATTGTGGAACGAGGGCCTTAATGAAGGGATCGAAACCGTCCACAAAAGAACTGCTGCTGTTAATGCCGACACAAAAAGAGCAACGATAAGGAGATTGCAAAGTCATTACGGCAACTTGTGCTTTATGAGTCTGAAAATAGCCTCCCAGCATTAAAGTGGCAAGGGGCGACCATCATGGAACAATAAACGGCACATCCACAATAAGGCGCTTAAAAGCGTGTGAAGCTACCGGAGAACATCCCAGATTATCCCGCCGAATTCCAAAAGATGAACCATTATAGATGAAACCAGGAAGCTTGCAGCAATAATAAAAAACAATTTTTATATCTTCGTTCCCGTTTCGATATTAACTTCAAAGCACTTCAATGCTCCTGTGATAGACGACGCTCAAGACAGAAAGTGTTTTAATTGTATACCCAATTACGCGATCTTTTTCAGTCTTCGATGGAGTGGGTGCCAGTATTTCAACCCATCTGAACTGTCATAGTGACTCACTGCAAGGTTTATTCACCTGACAGTAGCTTCAGGGATCAACCAGACATTAAATGTCTCAATTGCTAATTCGTGCAAAGTGCTCATAAACCTTAGTAAACACACAGCACAAACCCACGCACGACACAAACAGCACAACTACTGGAATTTGCACATTTCAATCAAAGCAGGAAATATAAATCTTACTCAATCTTAAGAGGGACCTTTCGCACCTCCATCTCGCCAAGGGGGAGTAGGAGATTTGAAGTTGGTCTCGCCCTCTGGTTGCGGCGGTCAATGACCGACAGAGGTCCTCTGGAGAGCGATCGACCCCTCGTAGATCGTGGAAGCGTACTCGCGGTTAGGTGGGGCGAGGAGACAGCAGTTGGCGATTCCTCTTCCACTGAATTTTCCGCTGAAGGCGTGTAGACTATGGGAATTGATGGTGTCTAGGGATTTAAAAATAGACAAAATTTCAACAGGAATTTGGCAATCACGGCTTTCCACGGAAAATAAACGCATAATTGCCTAATTAGTCGATGAATTCAACACTTCTGCTTCCTTATAAGTGGGAATTGAGGTTAATGAACCAAACGAGATCCCTGTCTACAAGCATATTCAAGTTGAAACTATTTCGATAATGAAAGGCAGAAAGTCTTTTGAAAGCAAAAGTGGGCTTTTTTGCGTGTGTTTATAGTGGTAAAGCAATTGTTGTATTTTAATTCAAACAGCGCCGCTCAAGAAGATCCACTTTGATGACATGGCGAACAAATTGGCTGCAGCCTTAGTACAGTCAAGCTGCCCTAGAAGTGTGGTTATGCATGTATAAAAATGCTCTGATTGACTTTAATGGGCATAAACAGAAAGTGGGTCTTGAATTTCATCCAACAAAATTGTGAATAAAGCGGATAAAAACGCCAAAACATTCAAACCAAAACTCCTAAAAAATTCCGATTGCATTGAAGTTGTGAAATTGAAGAGGAGAACAGGGAGCTAGCCCGGGTACTCGTCAAGGCAGAAACCGGAAGTTGCCCACCCAACCACTAGTTAGTTAGTGAAAAGCAGGTAAAAATCAAAGGAAACACCAATGGAGTTCATTTGGATTGCAGGTTGCTCCACTCTAATGTACACGGCCATAAACCCTCATTTGTGATTGCTTGTGGTGGCGGTAATGGGCAAATCAAGTCGGTTGCTGAGTGGTTGCTGAATTCGTTTACCCATCTCTGGCACACACACCCACATGCACACAGTCCAAAATGTCACTTCAAGGTGCACAATCACGAACATTGGTTGAATTATGCGCCAAGATGTAAAACATAAGTAATGAAATTTTGGAACACAAACATGTTTAATAGTGTAAGAGAATAAGAGATGACAGAGAGAAGGACAGGGAATGAACAGATGAACGGAGGCCGGATGAATGAACTAATGAAAAGATGAATGGGTGACGGCGAGGTCGTCATTTAGCAGCGTGACCATGAGATCCATGACCTAAGAACTCAGTTTAGTCACGTGCTCAGAAACTAAATTTACTGTTTGTGAAGGCTTTGAACTATGCATTAGATCAAAATATCGGTTATTAACACTTTGGTTGTTAACGTCACATATATGTGATGTTCGGGTTTCGCCAACTGAGAGAACATCACACATAAAGGGCACACTTAATCAACGGGTACTAAATTGGACTGGTAAAGATGAATGGAACAACGCTAATTTGCATCACACTAGATCGGTAAAATATCGGAGTGGCAGGCGTCGACTTTTCCTTGGGCAAGTTAATGGTGTAGCTACGGGATGTTAAATATTGGTTAAAATTTTGTTTCGCCTTTTACTAATTATCCCACCTTGAATACATCAATTCCAGTTAAATGCTGTTTTAGGTTGCCTCTGGAGCATGGTGGGGGACCAATGTACCATATGCTTACGGTGTCAAACACGAAGTTTACATCCAGGATTCTTAGATGAATCACCTCGTACACTACTGACCGAGCTAATCAGACGGTTTTAATCCATCCAACAACCAATTTCAACGACCAAGTTTAAAATGTCCAGGGTGGAGGTTATGCTGGTTGTGTATTCGTATCTAATCCGGTTATCTTCACAGTGGATGCATTGCACACAGTATGCCTCCATTTGACATCAGTCTAGTGAGGTTATTTCCAATAGACGGGGAGAAGTAAGGGACAGAAATGCACAACTTTTACCTGTTGTTTCAGTTCTTCAAGTCCTCCCACCTAAAAAAAGACAAAAAATGGATTAAAAATAGAAACGGCGGTGAAGAAAAGAAGGAGGTAGAAAGAGTGAAAAAAATGAAGGAGAACCAAGGAAAGAGGACGAGATAGGAGAGGATAAGAAGATGAAAAAAGAGAAAAGAGATGAAAGAAAAGGCAAGAAAAGAAGGCATTTCAATTTCTATGCTCACCATTCTCACTCGACAGGTCTGTTGAGCACAGGTGTTGTGTTGGATAGGTGGACCGGCGGTGGTGGGCTGGCTGTACTTATGCACGTACGCCACAGTCTTGGAGCGTTCGTGCGGTCCTTGAGCAGACTCACGTTTGCACCACTTGGCGTGGAAGAGGTCGGCCACGTTACGACAAATGCGACTCTCCAGACTTGCATCTTGGGGCTCCAAGCGACCAAACTTGTACATGTAACTCGTCACTAAAAGTAAAAAACGCCTTGTATTTGGGTTACATAACATTCGCATTAGTCAAGATCGTACAGCCCCCTACACGGGTTTTGGGGCTCTAGTCAGTCTGTACAGCCATAATCTCGAAACGATCTCTTACCCAGAAACAATTAAAATATCATCCGATGGCTGGCAAGACCAGCTCAGTAGGTCCTTCCATATCCACAAATAAATCAAGGGAATCCAAAGTATCGTGCTTTTCTACCAACAAGGCATGTCCGCCTTTCACCTTGGAAAAATCAGCTTGCATAGGGTCTCCATATAGCAGCAACTAGGGGTATACATTTTGTTTGCCTGTTCGCAGGTATAGGGACTATGCGTATGGATGCTATTCAGTTGAGTATTCGAAAAACAAAAAGTCTTTTTAGCAGCGATGCACATCACATCAAACCTTTAAAAAGAAATTACCCATTTACAAGTCATGTGGAAAGAAACCATTTATTCCCAAGGACACGCGGACGTAAGAAGTACATCTGTGATGGTCATGTGGAATACTGGAACAAAGCCAAGCTTCCCATGACTCGTTGAAGTTAGCCAGCAACATCTAATCAGTTTGCATTAAGGCTAGCCTGACAACCTTTGTCCAAACATTGTTAGGTAAATCCCAAACCTCTTTCACAAAATTTGCATTATTCCAACTCTAAATTTCACGACCGAATCACTGAAGGAAGACATTTCAGTGGAGATTTCGATTTATCGGGAATTGTTTCATGAAGGGACAGTTTTTAAAGGGATGGTAAAAAAACATTTCACACCTCGATGGAATGTAATGCCTTAATTATTTGGTGTGGCCTCCAGGCCATGTTAGCAGCCCCCAGCCCTTATGTACATCATCAGTACATATTCTGCTGTAGTATTGCCTTCTTTCGTCCTCAGGATAGACTTGGGGCGCTACAGTATGCTTCCCCCTATATTTGAAACATGATACAGATGAATCGTGTAGGTAAGCAGATTCGAATTTATTGCAGAGGTAAAAGTATATGCACTGCTGGGATTCGCTCCGCAAACAAATTTCGTGTGTCAAGTAAAAAACTGCGGAGCACTTTATTCAGTCTGCGCTTAGTTTTGCAACAGACAACGAATGCAAAGAACATATTATGCCTGCACAACAGTGACGACTTCGGCCCATAATATCGACAGTCGTCATTGTGAATAAAGATTCAACCAACGCGTGGAACGCCTTTCTTGATCCTGGATTTCTCATAGACGCACGATCCGCCGTGTGGTTAAATAACAGATGGTCAGCTCAGTCAGCTCATTAAAAACTTGTTTAAAAAGGTGCTTCGGTTTGATTTTACCGATCCTCATAATTGGAATTCCTTCTGGATAGTTTAGATGATAAAGTAAACATACGTGTATTGTTGGATGCTGACGATAGCGGGGAAGGATTTTGGGGAATAGGGGGTACGGGCGGCTTTCCGTTGCTGCTACTGCTACTGCTGGTGCTACTCGAATCCTCTCTGTGTGCAACTGTTGCAGTAGGTGTGGAAGCGATTTCCTCACCACAATCAGCCCGCAGAAGACCGTTCTCCCCATCTCTGGAAGGTGATAGGCAATGCCCACATCTTAAAGGCGTCAGGGTAGCTAGGCGGGTGGGCATGCTGTCGAGACGACAGGCCTGAGGCGGACCCTGTGATACCTGTCGAGAGAGGTCGGGTCCGCTGCCGTCAGGCAAAGAGGGCGCCACGACTACCTGTAGAAGGCAATTGTATGATCTCAACAATGGATAGTTGGGTTTCCCATCAAAACAACATAGTTAGATAACATAGGAGCTCACCGCGTCCACAAAAATAACCCTAGGAGCCTCAAGATTAAATTATTTGTACCTTGGAAAATAGATCGTTACAGGAGGAATCTGAACTGAGACCAAGAAGAATGATGTTGTGCTATAAGCAAATGGGGCGACAGGAGGCCAGAACTTCCCAAGCTACGTCCGAAGTGACAGCAGCAAAATTTAATGGGCTAACCATTTTAACAATTCTAGGTTGTTTAAAGTACAAAAAGGTGAAAGTCATGTTAAAAATGCATGGCAAATGAAAATTTGTATGCACACTATTATTCTTTACTGGCAAGGCATCTGCCACCAGGCCTGAAAGACGTCAAAAGCTCTAGCAGGAGCACAGCTACGACTATGAAGGATGGCAAGTTTCCACCCATTGTGCGCCAACCTTTAAATGCCACACATCAACACTAATTTGAAATTTTCTCACCAAATTGCAGCATAAATTTCGTGAGTTATTTTAGAGCTTAACTCCCATAAGTAGTATGTTGAAAAACAATATATCATCATCTGGCAGCTAAATCTGATGTATAGAATTGAAGCGCGACGGCTTCTCATCAAATGTGTGGAATAGCATTTGGAGGAGGTGCGATACGTGGTGGCAGAGTGCACCG